TTATACAATTCACGTTCCAATTTATATACAATTTATTTTTAATTAACAGTTCCTCACAAAATTTAAATAACCTTTAAATCACCAGAGATTTTACTGAAAATACTTTACTCGCAGAATCAGAAATATTTCCAAATACTCGAGATTCAAAAACAAAATTTCTCACTATGAATTGAACTATAATAATAAAATCACGAAGGTCAGAAACCTTCGACGACTTCGCGTATAAATAAGCGTTTTGGCCGCCCACGTGAAAGGCATAAATGTGTCGTCACATTACGCAAGGAGGTCGGAAGTGGCTCCATCTTTCGGTACAAAGCATGAATCACTAAGCCTCCGCGATGTACTTACATGATCCAATTAGTCGGATAAAAGAAAGCGAAAATAGAGGTTCAGCGTGATCGGAAGCGAGGAAAAGTTAGCTCAGTCAGGTAATCGTAAATGACAGATAATAACGGTTTATGGGATAAATCGGTGAAGAACCTTCGTGCTATACCGTTAAGTTATAACCTAAGGTCGAGCAGCGTAGACGCGATGTGTATCGGTCGGTATCGCGGTGTACATATTTGTTTGATAAACAAATATTCATAATACGAATATGTAGTCCCATTTGTAGAAGTAGTAATATCTTTTCGTGGTAATAAAATATTGACCCACCTTTAAATACACATCAAATATTAAACTTGTGCAGCAATAGTAATAGCGGCAGTAGTAGCACAATATTTACACGAGGAGTTGTCGTTTTCTGCTATCCCGAATATTCCTGTTCTCGGCTCTGGGATTGTTTGCACTGTGATAAATCGGACAAAAGGCACGTCATTATGAAAAAGGTATTTTAGAGATTTCAAGTTCTACTGTGTCTGTCGTACCGCGGAATTAGAAAATTTTTATGCAAAATCTTGACTGGGATTAATGGATTGCATTGTTGAATTATTTTTTTCAATTACAGATGACTTTTGTGGATATTAGACTGGAGCAAAACGTCGTATTATGTGAATCGAGCTATGCGAGGCTCAGATTAGGCACGAACAAAAGTGAGGTTAGCTTTCGAAAGTAATTCTTTGACGAAAATAATTTATGTATTTATGTAAAAGAATATATGTATTTATTTATTTTAGGTGTCTATATGAGTCGGAAAGTGTATCACAGAGTGAAAAACTAATAATATCAAATGAGTTATCTGCACACGTGTGATCGAATGAATTATTTACTCTACAATCTGATATAAATTACTCGAAAATTATATTAATGATTATTTTTTACTAATGAGTACAAGGTTAATGTATTATTGAAATTAAGCTTGGCTCTGGAACAGATATGAACAGATTTTATTTGAAATAAAATAAAATAAAAATAACTAATTTTAGTTGAAATGGAAACTAACAATTTGACAATGATAACTTAAATTAGCGAATTATTTGAACAAAAAATAACGTATGAAAAAAGAATATTGTTTTATATCGAGATAAAATAAATCATTTTCGTATAATTTTTTATTTTAGTGAACATATTTCATACGCGTTTGAGTTATAAACAATAAATCCGAATTATTTTAGGACGTAACGGCGTTTGCTCTCTGAATTATTCTCGTTTCAATTACCCTTGAATAAGTGTACGAGCCTGTGTGCGTGAAGCACTGTGAGAAAATCTGTACCACTGAAGCAGTTGACATAATAGAATTAGAAATTATGTGAGATACTATTCCATGAAGCACTTATTCGGCGAAAAGAAAAAATACAAAATTCAAGAGGGGATTATTTTCTTATTTAAATAAATAAACTAATAAACAATAATTTCAAAGTAATTAACAAAATCATTTTTCAATTATTTTCCTTAAATAATATATACTAATATTTAAATACTACTATTCTGCTATTTCACTATTTCAATATCCAACTATCTATCCGAATGTTACGTCGCCGAAATGCTATATTTCTTTCGTTACTCTAGTATGAAATGGGCATTACACGCTTGAACGCTCTGCGTAATGGCACCAAAAGGGAAGCACATGACACTAACTGTCAAAGTGAAACGTGAGATCCTTTGGAAACTAGAAAACAATACAAGTGTCCCAAAAGTTCTAAACGTCTCAAAAATGTATAATGTTTTGTCAGTGTCATTGTTCTTGCCAAAATATAAAACAATCACTCCAAAGAAAAATAAATCTTCTGGATACTAAATATTTCACTGCATATTAAAATGATAAGTACCCATATTAATTCTTATGGTTTAATCTGAGCAACTAGATTAAAATTTATATATACAGACAAACTTTTAAAAAGTTAATTCAAAATATTAATATTAACTCTGTGCACTCCACTAGTGCCACCATACAGACGTTGCTAATATGCAATTTATTATATGCTTTTATTCTCCTATCAGAGATGAAAAAGTGAGTAAATATTTCAAATTTTTTTCCCTTTCAAAAAAATCCTTTGGTTTCAAAGACCTCCAACAAAAGTAAATTTAACTCAAATAATTCTTAAAGTGCAAAAAGTTACATCATCAAACCTTGAAACAAAGAATAGTCGAGAAAACCATTTACATTACAACATAACCTAAAAAATCCAAGGAACAAAGCAGCAGCCCAATATATCAATCACACTATACAACATAATCTAAAATATCGAAGGAACAAACCAGTAGGCAATTTATATTGATCTCAGTTACAACACGACGTAACCTAAAACAAACATCGTTCCAAAAAAAAAAAAAAAAAAAAATAAAAGAA